GTGTCGAACTGCGAAGTACAGCGGAGGTTTATCCTCCAGCAGGGTGTCCCAAGCTGAGAAGGAGTTCGACGTTTCCGGTTTCCCGGATGCCCAGAGAGTAGGCCATGCAAGAAGCACCACCGTTTGGCTGATTTAGTCGCTAGGTGGTTCCCTGATCCACATAAAGTCAGCGTTGCCTGTAATGGAAGCTTGGCAGGCCCTGGCAAGGTTCTGCTAATGTTTATGGAAAAGTTGTATATTGCCCGTACAGATATAAAAGAAGAAGCCCTGCACACTGGTTCACTTGGCGGCGTCGTATGTCATCAAGACCAGTGTTAGGCTGCAAGGACGCCATGGATTTCGGACCAAAGGAAACGGTAACGACTCGCCAAGGAGATTGTCTCATGCTATGCATCTACAACGCGAGTACAGTTTCCACCAACGCCGATTTCCACGTCCTTCGCGAAATTGCAGAGCGTATCCACTACCACGTAATCGCCTTGCAGGAAACAAAGTCCAGGAAGACGGACGTGAGGCAGCTGAGTGTGTCACAATCATCATTGGTGGTGAGAAAGTTCCATCACGGAACGTTGGAGGCGTTAGATTTGTCGTACACTCATCTGTTTTCCATCTTGTCAATTCGCATGAGATCCTATCACCTCGCCTGGCTATCTTTCGATTCCGTCCTCTGCGTCACCAACACTATCATCAACTGTTATCCTCCAACATCAGCAGCTAATGATTTCAAACTTGACGCTTTTTATGAGATTGGAGAAAGTCATCGGCAAAGAAAACTCCTCCTATTATTTCGTCGTGGGTGACTTCAATGCGAAGATAAGGATGCCAGAAAAAGGGGAGAGGATCGGGGGATTTGGATCAGGACTCCGGAATGAGAATAGTAACCGTCTTGTTGGGCTCTTATCCGCTGCACGACATGGTAACTCTATCTTCATGAAGAAAGAACCTTGGCAGCATGCACGGGAGTCTCGCTACGACTCATGCGGAGATCGACCACATTCCCACCAACCGAAGGTGGTGCTTACTGTCGTCTCAGTGGTACCATCCTTCAGTAGTGGCTCAGATCACCGCCTCCTTCGAGAAAAAGTGCGATTCAGCCAAAAGCTGGAAAAGAAAATCTGCCAGCGTGTTGGAGAAAAGAGAGAAGCCGTATGTGACGGCGTGAGATTGGAGGAGCTCCTGACCACTTGTAACTGGAACATCGAGGAGGACCCAACGAAAGACTGCGACCTGCTTCTTAGAGGAATGAGAGCCTGTGGTAGCGCCTCAATGCCTCGCACAAGGGACTTGGAATGAATTTCGAAAGCCACCAGGGATCTGCTAGAGAGGAGAAGAGCACTGAGGCTGAATCTGACTGCAACACATCTCGAGCGACTGGTTGCCATTACCAGTTGCAGAGCAGCTTTGCAAGAAGATCTTCGAAAGTTCAGACAATCGAAACTTTTAGAAGCAGCACAAGAAAGGAGAAGTTTAAAGAAATAGTGCAGGGGCCTTTTCGTGTTCCACTGACAACATTACTAAACACGGGACTCGCACATCTTCCCGACAAAGGATGGAATCGATCACAAAGAAATTCTACTCTCTTTCGCTCGTCAACACCGGTGTCAAGCCCCATTATTACCACTGGAGAAATACCAAAACGGATATCTGCTAAAGTACGCCCCGCAATCAAGACCATGACGGCAGCCAAGGCCCCGGGACCGGAATAAGTTTCGACGGACCTCTTACGAGCTGAAGACCATCGCCTACACGAGATACTTGCGGAACATCTGATGTCCTACCTTCAAAGGGAAGGATCCCCGACCAGTGGATAACATCGCGAACAATGCTCCATCATAAGAAGGGCGATAGGGAGGATCTTTGGAAGTACCGTCCAACATGCCTGCTGAGCGTGCTGTACAAGCTCTTCACGAAGGTTGTTCTCGCTTATCAAGGACACTGGATGAAGTCTAACCTTAGAACAAGCTGGATTTCGCAAGGGATTCAGCTGCGTGGATCACATTTAGACAGTTTGAGGATCATCGAGGTTTGCCGAGAGTACCGTCTACCTCTCGTCCCAACCTTCTTTGTCTATGAGAAAGTATTTGACAGCGTCGGACTAATGCCATACTGGCAGCGCTCGTCGACCAAGGGGTGGACCCGTCTTACGTGAGAACATTGGCCGACTGCTACAAAAACTGCTCTACAACGGTACAGCTTTTCTATCTCTCCTCAATATACCAATGTCGAAGGGGGTTTGACAAAGTGACACCGTGTCGCCGAAGCTGTTTACCGCCGCCTTCTCAAAGAATATCCCTGAAGCGGAGAAAATGTTGAAGGAACTAGACGAAGTAGGGAAGAGAATAAAACTGCGACAACCGGAAGAAGACTCATCCATGAAAAACGCTTTTTGCGAGGATCAGAAAATGAAACTCTTCAATCGCGGAGACGTCTTCTTACGTATATCTCGGGCGTTCAATGAGCATGGAGAACAATCTGTAAGAAGAACTAAACAGAAGGCAAAGAGCAGCTTGGGCCGCCTTCGGGCCTTTGGGAAGCGGCAGACCAACTCACGGACCCAGAGCTCCGAGCCCATCTATTCCATTCAACTGTTCTCCCTGCGCTCTGCTACGCAGCAGAGACGTGGCTTGACACTGTGGCTACGTCAAAGGCTCCTCGAACACCCAAGAGAGCGCTGGAACGACTTCTTCTGAATTACAACCGACGCACTCAACATCTCGTCGGACTTCGCAGTTCAGATATGAGATTAATGTCTCATCTTCACGATCCAGCGGAATAGGTCTCTAAAGCAAAGCATCGATGTTCATGTAATGAGAAGTACAGATGACAAATGGACACTAAGAACTCTGGAATGGATTCCTCGCGAAGCAGATATGAGATTAATGTCTCACTCCTCTCTCTCCTCGAGGGAGGCCACCAACCAGATGGGCTGACGTGTTCG